GGCTTCTTTGTCAAAAATCAGGTGTTCATAGGTGTGTGGATTTATGTCTAGGTCTTCAATTTGATTCCATCAATCTATCTACTTGTCTGTTTTTATGCCAATATCATGCTGTTTTAATTACTATAACTCTGTAGTTGAGCTTGAAGTCAGGGATGATGATACCTCTGGCAGTCATTTTTATTGTATGGGATTGTTTTGGCTGTCTTGTTTCTTTTTTATATATGAAGTTGAATATTGTTCTTTCAAGGTCTGTAAAGAACTGTGTTGGGATTTTGATGGGGATTGGGTTGAATGTGTAGATTACTTTTGGTAAGATTGCCATTTTCACTATGTTAATTCTACCACTCCATGAGCATGGGAAATCTTCCATATTCTGATAACTTCTCTAATTTCTTTCATCAAAGACTTGAAGTTCTTGCCACACAGGTCTTTCAATTGATTGGTTAGAAATATCCAAGGATATCTTATATTGCTTGTGACTATTGTGAAGTGTGTTGTTTCCTTCATTTCTTTCTCAACCCTTTTGTTGTTTGTATATAAGAGGGCTACTTTGACTTCTTTCCCACTTTGTATCCTCTTGATCTCCTTTAGTCCTCTTATTGCTGTAGCTAGAATTTCAAGTTGTACATTGAATAGATATGGAGAGAGTGTACAGACTTGTTCCTGATTTTAGTGGAATTTCTTTGAGTTTCCCTCCATTTAACTTGATGTTGACTGTTGGCTTGCTTTATACTGCTTTTATTATATTTAGGTATGTTCCTTGAATCCCTGATCTCTCCAAGACTTTTATCATGGAGGAATGTTGGATTTTGTCAAATGCTTTTCCAGCATCTAATGACATGATCTTGTGTTTTTTTCTTTCAGTTTATTTATATTGTGGATTACACTGATAGATTATCATATGTTGATCAATTCCTGCGGCTCTGGGATGATGAACTGGGCATTGATCTGAAGGAGTTCTTAGCAACTAATTCACTTCCATATGGGGCAGAGTACTGCTATCTATAAACTTTCATTTTTGTGCTTTGTCAGAATGGAAACTAATTTGGAGGTTCCTCAAAATTTATAAATAGAACCAGCTATTCCACTCCTGGGTGTATCTAGGGAACTCAATGGATTACTACAGAGATGTTTGCACATCTGCATTTATTGCTGCTCCATTCATGACAAAGGGAATGGAACAACCCTGATGTTCATCTACAAATGAGTGGATAATGAGAATATGGTACATACACAAATCAAGGTAAATCGGATGTAAAGAAAAATTAAATGATGGAAATTTCTAGAAATAGGTAGACTTGGAAGCGAGGCAACAACTCAGATCCAGAAAGTAAAATGCAACACACTGTTCTCGCTCATACACAGGCAAAAGGAAATATTAGCCATTAAAGAGGATATAAAGAGTGCTTTATTTGTTTCAACTCACTCTCAGTTTTTCCTTTCCTTGTCTGGGTGAATGAATAGAACTGTAATTGGTCATAAAGATGTAAAACCCTAACTGAAGTTCCATTTCTTCAGAGGGACCATTCTAGCTGTAGAGAGGTTCACTGAGATGTATAGGTTCAGAGGTTGGACACATCTGTGCATGGCTTTTATTGTTGGGTAGTCACCACTTAGAACTACCCCAGGATTCCATCAAATCTAATTTTTAAGGGAATTGTACATACTCCAGCTCTGGCTGGGTTAATGTCTACTTTTGATTTTTTATAGTTTTAGGTCCCACACATACATTATCACCCAGGAAACTAAACTCACCCTTCACTCTGTCCCTAGTTTTTTGCTTTATGTATAGGAGATGCTGCCTTTTTCCTGATGGAAAAACTGAGGTTTCTGGGAAGTAGATGCCTTCTGAACCAAATGGCACTGTTAGGATCCAATCTGAGTTCAAAATTATAAGCTCTCAATCTCTAAAATACCTGGAAACTTTCAGGTATTTCAGATTTAGATCTATTCTATTTTAGATATAGCCAACTTGATTTAATTCACCAAATTCCCCCTTTATTATAATTTTGGTCACACAATGGCTTCCCTTAAATCACTCTTATTCTCTTTTACAGAGATTTTGAATGTCAAGAACTAGCTTATATTTTTCACTGTGCTATTTTATGCATGTATGTCTTCATACAGTATTTTAACTCCTAATATATGCCATTACAGTTTATTATTCTGTCTATATCTGTACTTCTTAATTCAATATAATTAATTCTTAATTCAAAAGAAAAGCAGTATTAAATTATAAACAGCATGGCTTCTGTCCTTGTGGGAAAGATGTGGCTTTTACACCTCTACCTTTTACTATAGAAGCTAAGCACTGCAGAGGGAACTATTCGAATTAGAATCTTCCCGTTCTTTCAAATCTATTTTCACTTCTTTTCTCATAACCCTTGACATATCTTTGCAAACACCGTCAACCCCGACTCAATGTTCTCTTCCTATTAAGTAACACCTTTTAAAAGTCAGTTTGGATGGGGCTCTCCATTACAAGAAAGAGAGTCCTGACTTACATTATCATGCTTTGTGGTTTTGTTTCTTATTTTCCTACTGTTTCTGACAACTTACAAATATATTTTTGTACTGTTATGATCGTATCTCAAATGTCAAACAATTCAGGTCATTATATACTTCAGATGAGACCAATGAGGCTTCTCTGTGGGAGTAACAATTCGTTCAGAGAGAGGTCCCTTTTACCAACCTTAAGCAATTACATAAGGGGTTTGAAATATGTAGAGAGTAGGAGACAATTAATGGTTTCTCTTCTATTTAAGTACACAGGAAATATATTGAGTGCTTGGTGCACTTATGTTAATTTTATTTATTGCTACTTGATTGTTTTAATTAACAGGATAGACAAATTATCTTAGATTTTGTTTCCAAGCCTACTTAGGATCCTTCTGAATAGCATAATGGGCAATTCTCACTGGTTTTATCCTTTGTTTTTTTTTTTTTTCTGATGCTTGTATTTTAACAATGCTGTGTTGTAACTTGGGCCAGCGCTGCTATCTGATCTTCCCTGTCCCCTTTCCCCATGTTCCTGACTCAAGCCATCCTTACAGCTCCAGAGTCTACACACTTCTCTTTCCTTTTCCCCATGATACGATGTCTTGATTGCTCATCCATATTTGAATTAAGTCCTTCTTTTACCTCCTCAAGAAAGGAACTCTTCTGTGCATACCGACTACAGAAGTTTTTTGCTTCTATGATACACTACTGCATACTTTTCTCCAAAATTTCTTTTATTTTTTTTCTGTAATTAGGCTTAGAATCCTCAGGAGCAGAAACTGACCTCTTCCTAAAGACTCAAGCACAATATAGCAGAGAGTATAAATAGTTCTTTATCAGCTCACAGTGTTTAATGTTTTCACTAGTTGCCTTAAACAATTTTTTGTAGACCTGTAAAAATATTTTAATATGCTATTGACCTAAAGTTGCTAGCTTTATAAGGTAAAGAAAGATGATTATAAACTCTTTTAACACAAATGTATTCAGTGTGATATTTAGGATAAAATCAATACATTTTTATTGTCTTTTTCATTTAGAATTTTTTTTTTTGGTTTTTCGAGACAGGGTTTCTCTGTGGCTTTGGAGGCTGTCCCGGAACTTGCTCTGTAGACCAGGCTGGTCTCGAACTCACAGAGATCTACCTGCCTCTGCCTCCTGAGTGCTGTGACTAAAGGTGTGCGCCACCAACGCCCGGCCTTTTATTTAGAATTTTAATTTAACCCAGCCTCTAGTTAATCTGTCAAGCCTGTATTGGTCTGACATAAAACCAACAAAAGTTGCTAAAACATTGTGCTTATTTTTCTAAATTACAAAAAACCCACATTTATAATTTGTTTAAACTTTTGTGGTTTTATTAATCAAGTCCTGCAGTGTATGAAATGGTGTTTGTGTCTGATGTGAAAGCCACCACACGTGTCATCCCTGGGTGCAGTGACTGGGTATCACTCCACTGGCTCACACCCAGTGGCAGAGAGAGCCCACTTCATTGCAAACTCTCCCTGAGCTGCCACCTGGGCATTTTCCTGGTGTGAACCCATGTGGTCAACAACCTTTTCTAGGCTTGACTCAGATCTCTGAGCAAAGACTCAGGAATTACGCATTCACAGTTTACACAGTTAAAAATGAAGTAGGTTATTTTCGAAGTGAAAAAATTAAATATTTCCTAATTTTGAAGCATTTTTATATAAACACCACAGATCATAATCTCATGTAAAAATAACTGTTCATAATTTGATTTGATTAGCACATTGGTATAGTTAATAACATTTTTTTTTGCATATGGGACACACTTTCAATTGTGCAAGCCCTTTCACTAGTAAACATGAAGCTGCCTGCTTATGCCAGTGATTTACTTAGGTGACTGGTAGGTGCTTCTAACTTTGAACTTCTCTGAGGTTTAACTCTGGTTTGCTTCCTTATTATTTAATAGAGAATAGAGTCACAGGAGTGCATATGTAGAGTCTGATACCCAAAGTTTTACTTGAAATATGTTTACATGCAAGCACACAAAACTAAATGTTTTCTTTCTTTTCTGCCCATGTTAAGTAGGCACTCCACCAATAACGATTTCTACACCTGCAGTCTCTTTATCATGTTTGGAATTATTATATTATTTGTAAATATATTAGACTTAAAATGTATAGTTCAAGGTTTAAAGTATTTTAACATATAATTTTATGTTTTAGAACCATCATATTTCATATTTCCCTCTTCTTTCTAAACATAAACTCCCCCTCTCTCTTATGTGTGTATTAAAATGTGAGCGGGGGGGGGGCTGCAGGGCTTCTCTTTATAGACTAGAACTCACTCTATAGCCCAGGCTGTTAGTTACCTGAATGGGAGGCAGCTGTGCATCAAATACTATAATGAAAGGCGGCGGTGCTGTGAGAGAGAGGCTATGATGTGTTAATTACTGGATAGAAAGCCGAAGTGTGTCGGGTATCTGGACTGAAGGAAGGCTAACTACTCGGCACTAGGAACTTGACATTGTCAGAACTCACCTTGGGCAGCTCCTCAATCTGATTGGCATCTAGATAGAGCTCCTCTAGCGTGCGTTCGAAGTTGAAGACCTCCTTGGGCACCTGTTGCAGGCTGCAGTGGGAGTAATCCAACACTGAGATGATCTCTTCCTCGCCGCGGAAGCAGCGGCATGGCACCAGGCGGCCAATGAGCTTCCGTTTGGTGGTCATCTCCAGGCACTGCACTGGGAGAGAACACACATAGATGTTTAGCCCTGAAACTCAAGGAAGGCCGCATCCTCTGCCAAGTAGTCTGGAGTATGGGATACACAGTACACAAGCATCATACTCTTAAGCCCTTTAACCACCCCATGGAGTGGCATCAGGCACAGGGCAACTTCCACAGAACCTTTTACAAGAGTATCCCATTTCTGCAAAAAATAGTCAAATTTCACCCCAGAGTTCATGATGTCCTTTTGGGTCCAAGTCTATGAATGACTTTATTTGGGGCCCACCTATGTTTCACACTCTTGTTAGACACTATCTTCATGAAGTCTATACTCTTGGAACCCTGATTCACAAGGAAGAAAAGGATTTATAATTACATTAGAAATTTCTAGAAAACCCTGACACATCTCTTTCTTATGCCTCTAAGTTAAAGTGAGCAAAGGCCTCGCAGACCATGATGTATCATCAACACTGAGCTTATTTTATAGGTGTCCATGTCATTTTCTCCCAGGATAAATATTTGAGGGTCACAGGACTGTTTTATTCCTCTCAGTATCTGTCTTAGAGCCTGGCAATTCATAACTATTTATTGACTATAGACTGACAGGTGAATGTATGAATGAGTAAAGGCATGTTTGGAGCTCTGCCCCTGATCACTATTAGTTATGGGTAATTAGCTTGAGAAACTTCTCATGTTAACTAAACATCACTCTTCCTGTCAATGTCCCCCCCCCACCGGGGGCAATGAAGAGAGTGCTATCTCACTGCATGTTCTTTCTACACATACATATCTTGAATTCTTCAAAGAAATCTTAACTTATATATCCTTAAATATATAGTATTTTTATACCTTGAATTCTTCAAGAAAATGTTAACTTACATATCCTTTAATACACAGTATTTTATATTTATCTTAATATATAAGATATATAAAATAACTTGATTTTATATACCTTAAATATACACTGCTATAGTTTGATGACTATAGAATTAGTACTAAATGACCATTAATTCAAACTTTGCATTTATAGATTTTTTTGTGTGTGTCTATACTTGTATGTCTGTGAGTGTGTGTGTGTAGGTCAGAGGTAATGGTGTGATTCTTAGGAGCCATTAACCTTTTTTTTTTGAGATGGGTTTCTCCTTGGCCTGGAGCTTGCTGAGTAGGCTAGGCTGGCTGGCCAGAAAACTACAGGGATCCCCTGTCTCTGCCTCCTCAGTGCTGGAATTACAAATGTACATCATCAAGTCTGGCATTTTATTTTTAAGCATGGGCTTTGGGAGTTGAACTTAGGAACTCATTTTTGTGTGACAAGCATTTTACCCACTGATCTATTTCCCCAGCATGTTAATTAGATTTTTGTAGAATAGCAAGTTGTTGATGAGGGGATGGAGTGATGGCTTAGCAGCTAAGAGCGCTTGCTGCTCTTGCAAAGGACCAGTGTTTTGCTTCAAGCAGCAACTCTGGGTGGCTCTGCAGGTATACACACACACACACACATGCACACGCACATGCACACATACACACACACCCTATAAAATGTATTGTTTAGATGAATTAATTACATTCATTAAAAAGTTAGTTTTACTTTTGAAATTGCATAGTTTGAATCAGAGTTAGAAGCTATCAGGTACAATTCACTTAAATGCATCTGGGTTTTCCCACAAGGCTGTCTTTATGTCTCGTTTAACTTTTGAAATTAGTGCAAGGATATTCTGGGGGCAAGTTAGCGAATGAGCACTTACAGATGGCTATTTTCACATGGAAATCCATAGAAAGCTAACTAAAAACCTTAACAAGATGATTTTCCTTCTCCACCAGCTTTTATCATTCCAACCCCGATACTTACCATTTCTAGGGAGTGAAATCACAAGACTTGGTAACTGTTGTTTTTATCAAATTTTCTTAAAATTGTGGGTTAGTGGAACATCTTGTCTCTACCCGGAATCTAGCACATATTAAGCATCCACCAATGGCCCTAACCTGTGAGTGGCATGCCTTTGTTACCTGGTAAACATGTGTGGAGTGCTCTGCAGTTGTAAAGGTAAAGATAATAGAGTGCAGTTGGCAGGCAGAATCAGAGAAGTTGTGGTGTGGAGCATAATTCCGTGGGAGTTAAATATTGCATTGTTTTATTTTTTAAAAACATTTCTTTATTTGTGTGTGTATCTACGTGAGTGCATGGACATATGCATGTGTGTGCAAGTGTGTCCACATGTGTAAAATACACAGAAGCTGAAGAGGACGCTTGGTGCTCTCCTCAACCTTTGTCTATACCTTTGAGGCGGAGACTCTCCTGGGACCTGTGGTTTTCTATTTGTTCCTCTTGGCTGGAAGCCAGCAAACTTCTATAATCTTTCTGTCTCTGCCCCATGCAGATGTGGTATAACAGATAGGCATGGGACTGGCTTGGTAAATGAGCTTTGACGTAAGAATTCCAGCCTTCACGATTGGACAGCAAGGGCTCTTAATCATTGGTGTATCTTTTGCCTGTTTTTCTATGTACCCTCACTTCAGTCTCCTGAGTTTCTTCTGGGTGTGGTCAGAGAGGTGTATTCCCCACCATTCATAGGTACCCCAAGAACACTGTCTCCCTGCTTTCATCTGGAGCCTTGGCGTCTTCAGACCCGTGTAGAGCCCCTCCTCGCCACAGCCCTGTGACTTCTACACTTCCTTCCTGTGTTACAGCTTCTATTTTCTAGGTTGTACATCTTCTTCCAAGATTTTATTCCTTCGGTTTGGCAGAAGATGGCTTCCATTTACTTGCTGAGAAAGGATGTATAGTAGGCACATTTTTTTTGAGACCTTGTAGTCTGAAGATGGCTTATTTTACCCACAAAGGATTGAAAAGTTCAGCTGGATATACATTTCTAGGTCAGACATACTTTTTCTTCATACATTTGGAGGCACATTTTTGGCATCTTGTAAGAAAGCCCAATTCCATTCCTATTTCAAATCCCATTTCACACTCAACTTCTGCAGCAGAAAGTTTTAAAAATTTTATCTCTGGCTTTAAACATTCGTGACAACGTGCTTTGAGTTTTCTTAATTTGTGCTTAATTAATTCGATGCATTTTCCCTTCCTGCAATTCTGTTGGAGGTTGTTATTTAATGGGTGCTTTCCTTCCCTTCACTAAAAAAGCTTTCTTTCCTGCAATTCCTCACTAACTGGACGAGAGAACTATTTCTTAGATATAGCCTACAAGCCAGTTGTTTATTCTCTAGAAATCTCTATGTCATTGTATTATGGTTATATTTCCCAGGAAGTTTTCTCAAGTTTATTTTCTAATTCCATGTAGTGACTTGCCTTAAATCTGACAGTGTATTTTATACTTTATGAGAGTTATATGTGGTATCCTGAGTGCTTTGCCTTTTCAGCTCCCTGTTTGTGTGTTAGGGCCTATGTTGTCTTTATTTCTCTCAGAGGATGTTAACTACAGACGTATCTTTCTCTCCCTGGTCCTTGCATAGCTCCTGAGTTTGGCTTTATTTGTTTCCTTAGGTCATCTTCTCCAAAAATAGGGGATTTCCTCAAATACCCAGTGATCTATGGCTGTCCTCCAATACTGAATGATGCTCTAAAAGGATAATTGAAGCTTTGTGTGCATGACACGTTTCATTTCAGAATGAACTAACAGCAAGCCAAAGAAAATTCTGAAGAGTATTCTGGTCATCTACCTAAGCTGGAAAATTGCTTCTTTGTAGAGGCAAGTTCCTACTTTTGGTATCAACTGCCCTGCTCCTGTGTGTGCTTAAGTTTGTGTGTTGTGGCCATATGAATGTTTATGTGTATGTGTGTGTGTTAAGTGCACATGAGTGTAGATGCCATGGTTATTCTCTGGTATTGTTCCTCAGGACTTATTTACTTTGTATTGACTAGGTCTCTTAGTGGCCTAGTACTCACTAATTCAGCTAGCCTGGCAGGCCAAGGGGGATCCTCCTGTCTTTGCCTCCTAACCCAGAGATTACAATCATGCACTACTATACCTGCTATTTTCACATGGGAATTTTACATGGGTTTAGTGTCTCATGCTTGCACATAAGACACTTAACTGACCAAGCTCTTTCTAGCTACTCTTCAGTTTTTTGCATCTTATTTGTCATCTTCAGTTTTCATGAACTGGAAAATCAACTCTTATACTTTAGAGAGTGTTTTATAACATAGTTAGCAATGGGTCCGTGTGTATGTGTGTGTGCATGTGTGTGTACACTACATTTTACTCTTTCTTCTAAAAGCATGTTGAAGTTACATACTAGTGTTTCCTCATGTCTATTCAATTGTGAGCATATACATGTACTTTGAATCCCCTTTAATCGAGTGGGGTCTTACTTATAAGGATAAATCAATAATGGCCATGTCTAAAGGAGGTTTCTCAAGCCTTTTATCCTTTCAGTCCTTCCCCAGTAGGTCTGGTGGTCCATAGTGGTGTTGAGTTCTGAGCAGAAACATCATAACCTTCTTTGGGAAAATTCTCTTCTGTTGACTCCCTTGATGTCACACTCTGACTTCATATTCTAATTTTACACTGTTAATATCACACCTCATATTTGATATTACATTGTTATGGTCAACATACGTTCCCATATAGGTCTCTATAGGTCTCTTCTTTAAGTCTTTTGTGTGTCAGTCATCTTTACTGAAGATATATGGCCTATTGTGTTAGTTTTCCCTGAACATGCTGTGTTTCTAGTTGCACAGTCCCATTCACATTTCTCAATACCTACTTCATAGGTAGAAATTGTATGCTTATGAAAATTAAGAGTCTTTAACAGGTTTTTCTTCATCATAACTATGATCTAAAGATAATTACAAGCAATAATGCTTTCAGAGCTCAGCTGATGCTCATAAAAGGCAGCTTATTTTGTGTGGTTAAGACCTTGGACTCTAGAACTAGCTGCAGGGATATGTGTGTGATACTGGGACATTGTTCTAATTCCATTGATTTTATCATCTAAAAGACCACAGTATAGATCTAGTGTAAAGAATTATGTCTCAAGTATGAAGCCAGCACTGTT